TGTCTCTCCCACCAGCCTCACCGTCTGGCACCAGAGCACAGCCTAACTGCATTCTTCAAAGTAAGGACTGGCCAGACACTGAGGGCCGGCCACCACCACCTGCTCCTACAGTAGTGGGTCCTAACTCTGATAGCATGTTAGGATCAAGGCTGTTGCTGTCTGCCACTACTACTTGCCTCCAAAGCCCAGAACTTATCTCTTTTGAAGCTTATTTCAATAGCTTGGTTTTCCTACATTTTAACTGTACCTTCCGCATACCATCTTTTCTCCGTGCTACTGCCAAAGTGATTTTTTTTTTTTAATGTAAACATGAACATGTTGGTCACATGCTTTAAACATTTCCGTGGCTTCCCATTGCTCTTCTATTATTCAGAATCCTCACTAGGGCCTGCAGAGACCTGCATGATCAGACTCATCTCACATCACTCTCTGTACTCCAGGCTCGCTGGCTTCTTCCTGTAACGGCACTTCTCACTTTAGGCTTTATGTCCTTCGCCTGATTCCCACCACATCTAGGTTACCCAGCTACCTCTCTTTATCCTTCAGATCTTGTCTTGAAAATCCCCTATCCCCCTCCCAGGTTCTCTTCACATCTTTCCTCTTGATTTGAGGCACTCATCATGATTTTAAACAACTATCTCTTGTAAGGGTTTGTGCATTACCACTTTTCTCTGCTAGACTGTGATCACAGGAAGAAGAAGTAGATCTTTTTTATTCCCTTTAGTGTTCTCAGAACCTAGCACAATGCAGGGCACACACCATCAACCACTTGTTGAGTAGATCCTGACTCATGGCAACCCTAGGTGTGTCAGAGCAGACCTGTGCCCCATAGAGTTTCCAACGACCAATTTTTTGGAAGTAGATCATGAGTCTTTTCTTCCATGGCACCTTTGGGTGGATCAGACCACCAACTTTCAGGTACAGCTGAGTGCATGAAACGTTTACATTACCCAGGGATTCCTCAGAACACATAGTAGGTCTCAATAAGATAGATGCTAAGTGAGTGTATCATAGATCTGCAACAAGAATATGTCTGCCATTTCCCAAACTATAAGGAATCTTAATTATGTGCAACTATTTTCAGTTTTTACTACATCAACTTTACTGTGTTTTTTGTTTTTAGGTGCCAACGAGTCAGCTCCGACTCATAGTGATCCTATGTATAACAGAACAAAATGTTGCCAGATCCTGTGCCAGCCTCACACTCTTTGCCTTGCTTGAGCCCATTTTTGCAGCCACTGTGCCAGTCCATCTTGCAGAGGGTCTTCCTCTCTTTTGCAGACCCTCTACTTTACCAAGTATGATGTCCTTCTCCAGGAATTGGTCCTTCCAAAATGAGTGAAATGAAGTTTCACCATCATTGCTTCTAAGGAGCATTCTTTCAGTACTTCTCCGAAGATAGATTTGTTTGCTTTTCTGACAGTCCATGGTATAGTCAATATTCTTCATCAACACTATAATTCAAATAAGTGAATTCTTCTAAGGTTTTCCTTATTCATTGTACAGCTTTCCCATGCATAGGAAGAGATTGAAAATACTATGGCGTGGGTCAGGTGCACCTCAGACCTCAAAGTGATATCTTTGATTTTTGACACTTTAAAGAGGTCTTTTGCATCAAATTTGCATAACGCAATACACCATTTAACTTCTCGACTGCTGTTTACATGGGCATTGATTTTGGATTCAAGTCAAATGAAATATTTATCCTTAACACTTCAATATTTTCTCCATTTATCATGATACTGCTAAGTGGTCCAATTGTGAGTATCTTTGCTTTCTTTATGCTGAGGTGTAGTTCATTCTGAAGGTTTCAGGCTTTCAGCTTCATCAGTAAGTGCTTCAGGTCTTCTCCACTGTAAGCAAGCAACTTGTTTCATTTGCATACCGCAGGTTGTGGATAAGTCTTCCTCCAGTCCCGATGCCAATTTCTTCAAATAGTCCAGTTTCTTGGATTATTTGCTCAGCATACAGATTGAATAAATATGGTGAAAGGATACAGTCCTGACATACACCTTTCTTGACTTAAACCACTCAGTATTCCCTTGTTCTCTCCAAATGACTGCCTCTTGGTCTATGTACAGGTTCATCATGAACACAATTAAGTGTTCTGGAATTCCCATTCTCTGCATATTAGCTGTAATTTGATATGATCCACACAGTCGAATGCCTTTGCATAGTCAATAAAATACAAGTAAACATATTTCTTGTATTCTCTGCTTTCTGTCACAATCCATCTGACATCAGTAATGATATTCTTGATTCCACATCCTCTTCTGAATCCTGCTTGAACTTCTGGCAGTTCCCTATTGATGTAAGGCTGCAGCTGTTTTTGAATTATGTTCAGCAAAATATTTCTTGTATGTGATATTAATTATATCATTAGATAATTTCCACATTCTGTTGGATCACCTTTCTTTGGAATGGGCACAAATATGGATCTCTTCCAGTTAGTTGGCCAGATAGCTCTCTTCCAAATTTCTTGGCATAGACAAGTGAAAGTGCTTGTAGCATTGCAATTATGTGTTGAAGTATCTCAAGTGAAATTCCATCAGTTCCTGAAGCCTTATTTTTCACCAGTGCCTTAAGTGCAACTTGGACTTCTTCCTGCATTACCATCAGTACTGGATCATATGCTACTTCCTGAAATGGTTGAACACAGACCAAGTCTTTTTGGTACAGTGACACTGTGTATTCCTTCCATCTTCTTTTGACGCTTGCTGGGTCGTTTAGTATTTTCCTTGTAGAATATTGCAACTCAAGGCTTGAATTTTTTCTTCAGTTCTTTCAGCTTGAGAAATGCCAAGCATGTTCTTCCCTTCTGGTTTTCTAACTCCAGGTCTTTGCACATGTCATTACCATAACTTGTCTTCTCAAACTATCCTTTGAAATCTTCTTTTCAGCCCTTTTACTTCATCATTTCTTCCATTCACTTTAGCTGCTCTATGTTCAAGAGCAAGTTTCATAGTCTTTTCAGGCATTTGTTTTGGTCTTTTCTTTCTTTTCTGTCTCTTTAATGACCTTTTGTTTTCATTATATATGATATCTTTGACGTCATCCCACGGCTCTCTGGTCTTCAGTCATTAGTGGCCAATGAGTCAAATCTGTTCTTGAGAAGGTCTCTAAATTCAGGTGGGATATACTCAAGGTCATGTTTTGGCTCTCGTGGACTTGTTTAAATTTTCTTCTGCCTCAACTTGCACATAAGCAAGTAATAGTCTGTTTCGCACTTGGTCCCTGACTGATTATTCTGACTGATGATATTGAGCTTTTCCATGGTTCCTTTCAACAGATGTAGTCCATCTGACTCCTGAGTATTCTGTTCAGTGAGGTCTCTGTGCATAGTTTTCTTTTATGTTGTTGAAAAAGATATTTCCAATGATTAAGTCGTTGGGTTGCAAAATTCTATCATGTGATCTCCTGCGTCTTTTTATCACCAAGGCCATATTTTCCAAATACTGATCCTTCTTTTTTTCTTTTTTTTAAATTTTTTTATTGTACTTTAGATGAAGGTTTACAGAGCAAACTAGTTTCTCATTAAACAGTTAATACACATATTGTTTTATGACATTGGTTGCCAACCTCATGACATGTCAACTCTCTCCCCCTCTTGACCTTAGGTTCCCCATTACCAGCTTTCCTGTCTCTTCCTGCCTTCTAGTCCTTGTCCCTGGGCTGGTGTGCCCATTTAATCTCATTTTGTTTTACGGGCCTGTCTAATCTTTGGTTAAAGGGTGAACCTCAGGAGTGACTTCATTACTGAGCTGCAAGGCTGTCCATACTCTCAGGGTTTCTCCAGTCTCTGTCAGGCCAGTAAGTCTGGTCTTTTTTTCTGAGTTAGAATTTTGTTCTACATTTTTCTCCAGCTCTATTGAGACGCTCTATTGTGATCCCTGTCAGAGCAGTGGGTGGTGGTAGCCAGGCACCATCTAGTTGTGCTGGACTGATCCTTCTGTTTTGTTTCCAATGTTCACATTCCAATCACCAGTAATTATCAATGTATCTTGATTGCATGTTTGATCCGCTGCAGACTGCAGAAATTACTAAAAATCTTCAATTTCTTCATCTTTGGCATTAGTGGTTGGTGTGTAAATTTGAATAATAATTTTATTAACTGGTCTTTCTTGTAGGCGTATAGATATTATCCTATCATTGACAATGTTGCACTTCAGGGTAGATCTTGAAATGTTCTTTTTGGCAGTGAATGTGAGTGCCATTCCTCTTCAATTTGTCATATCTGGCATAGTAGACGATATGATTGTCCAATTCAAAATAGCCAGTACTAGTCTATTTCGGCTTACTAGTGCCTAGGATATTGATCTTCAAGTGTTCCACTTCCTTTTTGAGGACTTCCAATTTTCCTTGATTCATACTTTGTACATTCCATGTTCCAATTATTAATGAATGTTTATAGCTGTTTCTTCATATTTTGAGTCATATCATATCAGTAAATGAAGGTCCTGAAAGCCTGACTCAATCCACGTCATTAAGGCTAACTCTACTTTGAGGAGGCAGCTCTTGCCCAGTCATATTTTCATTGTCTTCCAACCTGAGTGGCTCATCCTCCAGCACTACATTTTAGACAGTGTTCTGTTGCTGTCTGTAAGGTTTTCACTGGATAATTTTTTTTCAGAAGTAGACTGCCAGGTCCTTCTTCCCAGTCTGTCTTAATCTGGAAGATCCAGTGAAACCTGAACACCATGGATGATCCTTCTGGTAGTTGAAATACTGGTGGCATAGCTTCCAGCATCATAGCAACACGCAAAGCACCACAGTACAACAAACTGACAGTTTACAACCTAAAAACTGTACTAATTATAAAGAAATATATGAGTGCAATAAACCTACCTGTACCCATTTGAAATCAAAAAGATGATAAGATTATGAGATATGTTAGACCATAATCTCTCACTCCACCACTCGTCTGTCAGTTTGCTGTACTGTGGTGGCTCGTGTGTTGCTGTGATAAAATATTTTCTTCTGGGCAATTTAACACGGCTTACCTTTTCAAAAAACTGCTTGTGTAAATACACACTTGGGGCATAGTAGCCATGAATTCTAAGAACATCAGTGTTTTGTCCCAAAGACAGTACAATATTGATTTTCTTCTGAAGAGCATGAATGATAAAAATGTTTAAAAAGTCTGTGTGACGAGATGTTAATCCTTTATCTGTGATAATTAGGAAATATGGATAACATTCTTTAAGAAACATCTCCCATTCCAGAGACAAGCAATTGGAAAATTCCGTGTGAATCTGAACATGAGTATTGTGTTCTAAATGTTGGATTAAGGTGGTACGAAGGGCAAAAATTTCAGCACAATTAAAATACATATTTTCTACATCCTGTAGAAAAAGTAAACCAATGTTAATATTAGAGACAAAACAGAGCCACTATTTTCCTAAAGATCAGTCTTGTATATAACTTGTATAACATCATACAAAGAGTAAGAACTTCAAGATGATTAAAGTAGATTTTCTGCATCATATAAAATCGTGAGATAAATGTAGACTCATTAGCTGTTTTCCACTGTTAATACTTGATGTAATTCCTATTAGTAGAGACTTTAATTTTATCTGAAGAAGCAAAATATCTAAAAGATTAAGTAATGGTTGATCAAATTTAAAAATTATTGAATTCTTCTTCTTAGACTTTACAGAACTAAAATGGAAAATTAGATCTTTTTGTTACCTTAAAAAAGACAATTACAAATCTGGCTTCTTTTTGAATGAAATCAGACAGAAATTGTTCCACTATGTAGTAGAAGTGAAGAGTTTGTCCTCCTTTTAAGTTCACATTGAGAAAGCAAGTGATAAATAACCTCCATCAATTAAAAAAAATTCAGACTCAACAAAGTCTTTAAGTAAGCTCACAAACCTGAATTAAAATATAAAGCACATAATGCAAAGATTATAAATATAATGGAAGCTTAAGAGAAAATTCTATAATTCAACTTGTAGCACAAATTTTCTTCTAATTTAAAAATGAAATATAAAGAAGCCTTAGTCACAAATTGCTGTTACATTGAAGTAATAATTTTCCAGTGCTCACCATTATTCAAACATTAAAATAATAGAATAAGCCTTTAGTTGGAGATATGACAGATCTCAGAGTGAAATTGAAATTTACAATTATAAGTATAAATTTTATTCAAAAAAAATTCTACATATATCTTAGATTATTGACATACTTATCCTTTTTGTACTTTGGGTTTGAAAAAATGATGTCAATCATTATTCTTGATCAGTGACATTCATGGAATTATCCCATTTGACTTTTTAAATAAATTGGTAATGAACACCTGTGACCTCTTAACTCACCCCAAGAAATCAAAGATTTTCTATAATTTATACCTACCCTCTAATCTGTTTCCACAAACTCACCTTGCTACCTTTTCTCTCAGAGGCAACCACTGTCTTGAATTTAGTTTACATCATTCCTTTGCTTTAATTTTTAAGTTTTTGTAATGTATACGTATGCCGATTTTTGAATCTTTATTAAAAGGACCTCATACTATATGTGTTTTCTGGATATACTTTTTAAACTTAATTACTAATTATTACTAAAATTCTTGAATTTGGTTGTAGGAAGCAATACTCTGATAATGGTATAATATTCAATTAGATGTCTACGTCACAATTTCTTCTTCATTCCTCTCCTGTCAGTGGATATTTGATTTTTTTTTTTTTTCTTTCTTGGTTTCAGTTTTTCCTTTTAAAAACTATGCTGGGAAGGGGGCAAGATGGCGGTCTAGACAGAAGCACCACGCCGTCCCTCCACAACAAAGATCCGAAAAACTAAGCCAAACAGAGAATCAACAATCCTGAAACCC